GGGGGGGGGGGGGGGGGGGGGGGGGGGGGGGGGGGGTTAGAATCAGTTCCAAGCCAATGCGGGTGGGTTGGTTGGGAGGCTGGAGGGAGGTTGGCCTGGGCTGATTTTGTTACATTATTTTATCCAATGGCGGGATGCCATTGGATTCTGCGATTCCATCAGTTACTGTTCGATTCATTCAAAAATTCTCATTTCGTTTCTAATATTTTAGATTTCAGGTCGATGCGGTTTCGTTAATGGATCTAGTGAACGATGGGGTGTGCCGATGGATGTCAATCGGAGAAACAAAAAAATGTTCAGAATTGTGAGTTAATCAAAATCCAGTTGATTTACTTTCATATAAAGTTCACTAACAATCGTCTAATATTGCAGATGGACGAACAGACGAAGGACAATCAAATGAGGATACGAACGGAAGTGGATCGAGAGTCGGAATATTATGCGAAAAAATTGGTTAGCCCAAAACAATGGTTGATAAATTCCTTTATCCACCGACAGAACCATTCTCTGAAGATGATCTTTATTGGAGGTTTATCTTTGAAGGGCAGTTGGTAGTGTTTCATTTACCAAATGCAGTTTCAGATTTCAGTCATTCAAATGGTTCACGCAAAAAGTTCGAATCCTTAAAATCAACTGGTCAAGCTGGTGCTAAGTTGTTCTCCAGTTCATAAATTCTATGTTGAGATTAACATGGAATGCTGAGATATACCGGACGCGTCTCATGTCATCTATGAGGTCGATTGCAAGTAACGTCTCAAACCATATTTCAGTTTCAGCATTGCAATTTCTTTGAACCTTGCTACTTTTCTCATTCACTTTAGCGGCATCACTCATTTCCTCTGTTTTATAATATCTCCGAAGAATGTGTAATCTGCTGGACTATACTTTCCAGCGTAACTGAACGTTAAACAAACAGATTGGCACAACACGACTAACTTATTCATCGAAAAAGATATTGCATGCTGTGCTGATTTCTTTAACCGATGAGTTACTATGCAAATTCTCTTAACATTATTTCTTTGCGGATGATTGGAATGACACTTCAAGTGCGTACAGTGTGAACCACTCATGTACGGTGGATACCGTAGGAAGTTCAGTCTGAAACTCTCAACTGCAGTAGTTGTTGTATACGAATGCTACTTATCATATGAGTACATTACATGAACTGGATGCACAACAGTACACCTCTCATTTGCTGGCCTCATCAAACTGGCACTCATTAGATCCAGTAAACTGACTTCCATTGATCAAAAAAATCAGATCTTCGAACGTTCACGAAAGAGTTGCACATGCGGTCGATTCAACGTCTATGTAGTGAAATCACCACTAAGGGCAACCAGCCACTCTAATTATGTGTACCAAGTTGGATGTGTATACCAGCCGTGTGCTGTGCATACGAAACAATGCGGATTTAGGTGTTGTGAAGTGAACCTTAAAGTTGCGCATGATCTTTTTTTTGGCTGTGGATAGCCACATCCACTGATGTGATAATTTGAACACACATGTATGATTCTTTCACCATCAGAGTGCTCATCGTCAGCATTTGTTAAATTTCTTCTGAAATTGGTTCGCTTGAATCCAGGTGACGAATCACAATAGCTTCAATCTTATTTTGGACTTAACTAATTGTCGCAAATTACTTCATCCCACCGGAGCAATCTGTTGTTTAAGTGTGCAAGCTATTTCAGTTTTGTGGCGACTTCCCAAAGTCATGTAAGGGTTAAGCCACGCCTTATTTTAAATGAGTTTTACAAGAACTGCAAGGTTAGTGCTCTTGGGGGTACGGTTTTTCTTATGGAATTCGATTTTATTCTGTATCATGAGGTTTTCATCTTTATTTCTTTTGTCTCATAGATTCTAACTGACGTCCTGACCCTTCGTTTCGGTTATGTGCTAAACGAGTTCATATGTAAGGTATGCGATATTTCGACGATACTTTCATTTTCATTCAAGGGATCAGTCATTATCATGTAGGTAATAATAATTTGGACTGATAACTGCTCCAATGGATGGCGAGACTTCAGAGGATCAATTTAATGCTCCAATAGACGGATTTGTTGCTCAAGGATGCATTGGTGACTCAAAGATATTGATAGAGAATGAAATTGCATCAGAGGTAAGTCATCTTTACACGCTCGTCAAATTTACGTTGATTCAGCCATTTAGTTGGCAGTTTACAGAAGTTCTGAAAATAAACGGCTCATTCAAATTTCCAGTTGTTTAGTATGCGGAAGTTAAGATTCTAGCACCAGTTATCATTTATCTGATGATTTATCTGAATTATCTGAATTCGACGCATTTTTTGGTTTTAACATTATACGTGCTCCCCGTCCAGTTGAACAAAAAATTTTCTCACATACACTCACTTTTCAACTCCAGTTAATTTGTCTAATCATATTCACTTATACGACTTTCATCACTTCCAGTCATTGAATTAACGCAAAAGAGGAAGTCATCGTATATAAAAATCTTTCATCCCATTTGCTGATTGTTTAAAAAAATAATTTTAAGGCAGCGAAGAGTGCTTGTGAGGATGGGCCAAGATGGGTCAGACTTGATAAAAAGGCTAAAAATAAGGTGAATCTATAGTTTAAACTATTCATTTTCATGATAGTCATATTTTTGACAGTTATCCATTTAATTTGCGACTCCTTTCTCTTAACGATCTTCATTAGATGTCGCCTGATGTTTCAGACGTTGTTAACTTCAATTTTTGGATCTGGTTTTTAACTTCTGAACTGCATAAATTGTAAAACACGGTATCCACCAGACCCTAGCTCGTTACGTGAGTCAGAATTGCAGGTTGAAAAGAAGCTCACTGAGCAGAAACAAAACAAAAGTCAGGTTGACAAGAAGAAGCAAACCAAACTCGGTATTGAAACGTCTAAAAACGAAAATTACTCGGATTGGTATTCTCAGGTATTATTTTCATTCATTATCTTTTTTTAGTTTTTAATGTGTTACATCGCGTTTACACATGTTTTCAATTTAGGATAAGTAAGTCAATTCATCGCCCGATTCTCAGTAGAAAGTCTTGCGGTGTGTTGTCTCAAATTGAATCGCATTACTGAACCTTTCTTATCATTGTTTTTGCTATATAAACAGCTGTGTTATTTATGATTGTCGTTGTACTTTTTGTAGGTGATAACAAAAGCCGAAATGATTGAATATTATGATGTATCTGGATGTTACGTTCTGCGTCCATGGTCGTATGCAATATGGGAGATTATCCAGGAATGGTTTGATGAAGAAATCAAAAAACTTGGTGTTAAAAATTGTTACTTTCCGATGTTTGTATCGCAGAGTGTTCTTGAACGTGAGAAAACTCATATCGCCGATTTTGCACCCGAGGTAAGTTGAATAGGATTGAGCAGGTGACATGCAGTCGTGCTTATTTGAAACATTCTTTTATCTCTATTGAATGTATGCTGTGCACTCTCATGATGGCATGGTACAGATTACTGATGATGTACACTTCAATTTATACTTGAGGTGTAATTACAGTATTTCCTCCTTTGTTATCAGTTGCTGAATGTTGCGGTCGCAAAGTCTTTATAGTTTTTTAAAATGTGGAATGAATTTCATAAAACTTCTGTAGGATAAAGAAGCCCAGTTAGTATCGGTATGAGATTTTATGTTTTTCTTAACTCACAAAACGCTACAGGTAGCATGGGTGACGAGGGCTGGTCAGTCGGATTTGGCGGAACCGATAGCAATTCGTCCCACCAGTGAGACTGTCATGTATCCGAGCTATGCAAAATGGGTACAGTCACATCGTGACCTACCAATTCGTTTAAATCAATGGTGTAATGTTGTGGTAAGTTGATATGTTTTGTTTACTTTGGTGATTCAATTACGGTTCTACTTTATTCGAAACTGATATGCAATTCTTGATGATTATCTCTCAGTGATATCGAGTTTTTATCGAAAAGGTGATTGGTGTTCTTGATGATCAGATAAATCGCATTTCAGCGTTGGGAATTCAAACACCCGACACCGTTTTTAAGAACGCGTGAATTTCTGTGGCAAGAAGGCCATACTGCATTCCAAACCGCAGAAGAGGCCGAGAAGGAGGTGTTCCAGATTTTGGATTTATACGCGCAAATCTACACAGATTTATTGGCTATACCTGTTATAAAAGGACGCAAATCGGAGAAGGAGAAGTTTGCGGGTGGTGATTATACGATGACGGTTGAGGCGTATGTTCCTGTAAATGGTCGATCAATTCAGGTTAGTTTTCGTAATGTTGCGAAACTGAATTATTGTGCTTCAATGTGTATTGTTACGTTTTGTTGATTCAGGGTGCGACATCGCATCATTTGGGTCAAAACTTTTCGAGGATGTTCGATATATCGTTTGAAGAAGCCGATAAAAGTGGTAAAGCTTATGCGTGGCAGAACAGTTGGGGTATTTCAACAAGAACGATTGGTGCTGTTATTATGATTCACGGAGACGATAACGGACTCGTATTGCCACCCAGAGTGGCGTGTATCCAGGTGCTGCTATCTGTTCTTATGCTTCTGATTGTAGGTGAATGGAACTTTGTATGGATTTAGTTTTTGGATTTGAATTTGAATGAGCTAGTTTATTTATTTCAGCATTGCGTTTTAGTCATTCCATTGAAAAAGGGATTTATTTGAGAAGAATTCGGAATCTACAAAACTGTGAAATAGCAAAATATCTTATTTGAGTCCAGCAGGGTCCAATTTTAATTAGTGAAATTATTTGAACAACAATATTCTAGATGATTGTAATTCCGGTCGGAATCACAGCGCAAACAAGTGAAGATCAACGAAGTGTAGTGATGGAGAAAACAATGGAAATAACCAACTTGCTCCTCGATGCAGGTATTCGTTGCGAAAACGATTCCAGAGACAATTATTCACCCGGCTGGAAATTCAATCACTGGGAATTGAAAGGTGTTCCAGTACGGGTCGAGGTGGGCCCTAAAGATATAGCCAAGAATCAGGTGCTGTTTCGTTCATCTTCTTCAATATTCTAAGTGAATACTACCAGTTGAATTCATTCATGTTCTTCAACGTAGCTATTTGCTTTCCCAATCATCTGATTTCATTTTTCGCGTTGCAATTCAAGGGAATATCATCAACGTTTCAGTATTGTGATGAGTGTGGTCCACAGAGGGCACATTACTTTTGTAGTTGATGTCTGTTTCAGGTGACCTGCGTTATCCGTTTTTCTGGTGAGAAAAGAGCGATGCCAGTTGATGGTTTAGGAGAGGCATCAAAAAAAATGCTGGATGAAATACACGATAGGATGTATAGAAGGTGATCGAAATTCATTGCTTATCTCATTCGAATAACGCAAAAAGATGTAAAATTTCTATTGGTCAAGTCTCAGTATTGCATATGATTTATTGAATTTTACGTTGTATTACACGTTGCATTTGTTCATTCGTTTTCAGGGTTTTGGAGGAACGCGATAATCATAGGAAAATATGTACAGATTGGGATGAATTTAAATCATTATTGGATCGTAAATTTGTCCTCATGGTACCGTTTTGTGGACGAATTGAATGCGAAGACGCAATCAAGAGGGACAGTACCCGTGAAGAAATAACTGAAATCGGTGCTTCTGCAATGGGTGCCAAGTCATTGTGCATTCCTATTGAACAGGTTCATCTTGTTTGCATTTAGCTTTCTTTCGGATCTGTCCGAATGGGAATTATGTTCGTCACATACATCTGTCAATGATGATTGCATCACTACATCGTTGGTTGTCATATAGATGCAGTACTACAATGCATTGACCTCTTATGTCACTCTTATTCCGTTGAAATTTCCTCATCTACAAACTCATGTAAATAATTTATTGCAGCCATCAGAGTCACTACCTGCAAAATGCATCCATCCAGAATGCACAGCCAGTCCACGTTTCTTCACTCTTTTCGGTCGAAGTTATTGAAGTCCGATGACCCGTCCAGTCGTATCTTTCTTGCGTATACTCCGTTATCATATCATCACTGTTTGATTTAATGATTCTTTCTCCTAATGTTATGTCAATTTTTCTCCAGCCACACTTCACTTTCACCTATCATTCTTCAAAAATGTTTATGAGGTGAAGTTTAAAATGTTTATTTTTGAGAATGGTGTTGCTTGTCACTGATCAAAATTCATTCATCCACTTATTTACATTTATTGTTATTGTTGATTATCGTTAAGCATAATGCAGTTGCCTTGTCGAATATGTCTGTCACAAATGATATGGAAAAAAGTGACGAGATGATTCCAGTTGAATAAGGATAAATAAGGGCTTTGTAAGGGTCACTTTTTTGTGTGCATGTGATATTCTGGTGAAATAGTTGAGAATAAATGAAAGATGAATTGTGTTTGAAATATTGATTATTCTAATATTGATATGATGTGATAATTATAATGAGATGTGCATTTTTTCGTCGGTGTTCTGCGTTCAGTTGTGCTAAAAGCGTGGAATTTATATTCGTTAATACCATTAGTCTGGTCGTGGGAATATCAATTTCTGATGTGCTCTCTAATTTCATGTTACTTCTTTCAGTTCAGTTAAAATCTTGCTTTGTTCACTCGCACTTACAAAGCACCATAATTTTTTGTTTCCTCTTACAAAGGTGATTTTGGTGATGGGGAGCGGTTTCGAATCTTGTTTCTTGTTATCGAGACGAATTGTTTGTTTGTTTTGATGATAAAGTGAAGTGATCTTAACACCGTTGTTCAACATATCACTGTTGTTATCTGCAAACGAATTGCTGCTCTCTTCGTTACCTAAAGCTGTCATATATAAACCAAGTGATTATCGTAAACCGAGGATCGTTGAGTTGAATGATACTTTGAAAGTTGCAAAGATTCTTACTGGTTGAGTTAAAAATCAACACAGGCAGGGGAATAATTTGCTGCAAAGGTTTTCTAGCGTAGCATTAGTCGAAGTTTTTTTTTTCATTAATCACTTGATGGAGAATACTTCCTAGAAACAACTTCTACAGTTTATGGATGTTTTTATTTATTGTTCGATACGTTTCAGTGATATTGCTTATCTAGGCGCGTTCAAGATCAACTTCAAAAAATCACACATAGCAGAAATAGAAATAGTTTCAGTGAGTTTCTGGCAAGGATGTCTGATTTGGATTCTGATTATGATGAAAGGGCACATGAGAAGTTACTGAAAAGCATACAAACCGTCGGCGGTAAATTCGGTACAAAACGAAAGAGGATTGATTTGAAGAAAAATGTCAGAGAAGTGTCAGCGAATGAACTTCTCAGTACGATACACTCGACGAGGTCAGTCAGTTGTTTGTTGTTTTGAGGTGATCTGACTGACCATTGATTATAGGTTTTTGCTCGACTTTGTTTCATATTAATTTTATTTTATAGTCGTATAAATTCTGACATTTAACTCGGTTTTATGTACTGCATTTGCCTGATGTTAATTAATGTGATGATATACAAAAAATGTCGCATTGTATCCATAATTTCAACCTAAATCTATCAACAAACGTTAAGCAGAAATATTTGAAAATGCATCGTTAGATCTAAAAAAAGTATTGAAAAATGAATAAGCAGTCTTATTCATGATGGCGGTGAGGTGCGGCCGTCTGAAAAAATCAGTGAAATGAATTCCAGAAATTTGGATGCAGTGAAAAAAGATATGCAGAAGAAAACGAAGAAAACAAAGAAGAAAAAAGGCGTAGATGATAAGAAAACAGATGAAATAAGTACGCTAGCAACTCCACTGCATCGAGTTGCCAACGAACGAATTCAAAGTAAAGTCGCCTATTCAGAGACCAGGTTAGTACTGGATCTTTGTCCTCATTATTATTGTATTCCGTATTAGTTTAATGGAACAGGAAATCAGTTAAAAAACTGTTTGTGTGGCGAAGTTTTTAGCAATTTTAAGTATGATTCCATTGAAGGAGAGATCTGGATGTGTGGTCATCAGTTGTTCAAGAGAATCGCCTAGCCGACCAGATAGTATTTCCAATCGAACAGAAGGAATTCATTGATCAAAGTAGTGTGCAACAACTTGAAGATTTGAAAGTAGGTGTGATCGTTTTTTTAATATTGATTTCACAATGCGATTTCTTTCATTTTGTGTTCGCTAAGGAGCAGCAATATTTTTAGCCAAGAACATCGCTGGAAATAGAAATGGCGAAAGTACTCGGCACAACCAAAAATAACCTTCGTAACGATGTATCGTACACTGAAGCCGAATTGGAACTGCTGAAAGCAATGAGCCTAAAAGAGGTAATTGTCATCCATTGATCACTTTAACCAGTAATTTCCTTCGCGACAAAAACCTTTACTGGTTTCAAGCCGTTCATTGATAATTTAGCAGCATGGTAAAGAAATATTCAAAAGTGTTATTGTATGTTATACTTTAGGCAAAAGCTAAATGTGCTCAACTGCAAAAGATGCGTGCGCTGGTGAGTTATCGTGATGCGAAGTTGAGACGTCAAGCAAAGATTAAAAGCAAAACGTATGTTCCAGTTGTTTTTTTTTCATCGTGTAATTGCACTCTTCGACTTCAACGGATAAAACAATAAATTGCCGTTTTCTTCTCAGATATCATCGGCATTTGAAAAAGCAAAAACGTAAACAACTAATCAAGGAATTCGACGAATTGCTCGTTAAAGATCCTGAATCAGCTAAGGAGAAACTGGCCGAAATAGAACGTCAGCGTATACTGGTAAGTGTTTAAAATTTAATCAACATTAATATCTTATCCCCAGATCTGTCCGGTTCGTTGTTTTGGTTAAATGCCGCCAATTTTCATCCGAAAATTACAACAAAAGTCGGCAGAATCCAGTTGTTATTATTTCACAGTTGAATGCGAGATCGTTTGAATATTATCGTGAATAATTCCGATTGGTTGATCGATTATTCTGATTGATTTATAGAAGTACTGCAATTAAACTGGAAGTTTGTTTGAAGGAAAGAGCAACGTTGAAGCATCGTAATGGAAGTAAACGGATACAGATGCTTGCCAGACATGCATCAAAGGATACGAACGCAAAGCGTGCGTTAGAAGAGCAAATTCGTTTAGGTAGAGAACTGGCTGGCAAGCACGCTTCGAATGGCATTGATTCAGATGATACTGATGATGAATCAGCTGGTATTGCTGATAGTGCTCTCACTCAACAGCAGATACTGGAGGTTCGACTGATCCTATGTATCTGAGATAGTAGTTTCTTCACGAGTGATCGTTCAGTTTGCAGACATCTTCGTTCTTTTTATCATTCTCGAAACTTTTGTTTCGCAAATTATTTGTTTTGTTCATTTAGTATTGCTGATGGATATTAAACTTACACGCTTATCTGAATGATGTCAGCAGAAAAACAACTCAATTTTAGAAGGTAGCGGAAATCGCATCTCGTGAAGAAACCCTGCAAACTTGCGAATCCAATCCGACGTTGAGGGAATCGCTTCTCGAGCTGCGCCAGCAACAGAAACAGCTGAGTGAGAAGAGTGCTGAAAATGCAAAATATGCTGTTCAGGTCAGTTTTGTTTCGTTTTGTTTTTTCCAATCAATGCAATTGATCTCATCATTTATTGAATCAGCAGGCACATGAATGTAGCCAACAGTGTTATTCGATAACGATTCGGGTTGTAGCAATTCAAATTCTTGCAGGATTCGCAAAATGCACACACTAATCTCTCCAAAACTGATCAAAATGCCCAGAAAAACGATGAGAAAATTTGGGAAGAAGACAACACATGGAATGACGACGGTACGTTACGCGATGAGAATTGCGCTTCAGCAAAACAAAAGAAATCGCAAACAGAGGAGATGTTGAATGCATCACTGGACAATGAAGACGCTATCGAGAAAGATCCTAAAGAATTACCAGAGAAGGCGAAATTACCGAGTAAAAAGGTATGTATATATGTGATATATAAATTATCGACTATAGTTTTCGGATCCATCGATTGTAGGATCGTTATTTACGATTGAATCAATTTTTATGCTAGTTTATTGAAAATTTACTTCAATTTATTATTGCATGCTGATGATTGATACCTTGTTTGTCCTTTTATTTTAAATATTTGCATTTTAGGGAGAGAAAATACTTAAATTTTATTGTTTGTATTTTCAGATGAGAAAGAAAACGAAAAAGAAACGAACTGCTGTCGAAAAATCAGTGGATGTGGAGCAACTTTTTGATAGCACCGAAAAGCGTCTTATTGAATCGACTTCTGAGGTTACACTACTATCCTTTTCAGAAAATACTTGCAGTAACGTTTCAACGTTCAGTTTGTTTTGTCATGAAGACAGGCAGCATTGCTTGTTGTGTCATTGAAATGATTTGATTGCAGGAAGCAAAGCGAATACGATTAGCCGAAGAGAATAATCTTGAAGATGAAAGGAACAGGTATACGATAGGAGATGATGAACTTGCGAATGGGACTTCGAATGTTGATAGTGCAGGTGAATGGGTAATTGAATATCCTTTGATTGTATGCCTTCAGTCGCACTCATGGAACAAATTTTTTAAAAGAAGTATTCTTCATTAGTAATGAAGTTGTTTCTAAAATCGTTTCGTGTAAAATTAGGTTTTAGATCAATTTTCTTTTTCGTTTTTCCTTTACATTTTGCATCACTGATGTAAAAATGTGGAATTTACAGGGAATGTTGAAGCGATGATCGAACGAGTGAAAAGGCGGAAAGAAAAAGAAAAAGAAGGAGAAAAAGAAGTGGATATATCGTTAGACCCGAAACATTTTCTCAAAGCCGAAACAAATGCAATTGTTCAGTTATCTGCTGATCTTGTGGATCGAGCTGATGAATTTGATGGTCAGTTAGAGATTTTTAGTCGATGAATGACAAACTTAACGAGTTTGTTGAGAAAATAATCAATTTTAGCATTTTTGTAAATATCCAAGTAGATTTTATAACAAATTCACGAGGTTTGCGTTTCCATCATAATGAACAACCTTATTATAGCGGAAGCTGAACAAGAAGCATTGGTGGCAGTCGCGTTCGAAGATGATGATGTTGTGGGTGATTTCGAGACTGAAAAGGCTCTTGTTGAGGAGCGCGAGAAACCGAAGGATGTTGATCTCAACCTGCAGGGTTGGGGCTCGTGGGCTGGTCCTGGAATTAACCCGAAGAGGAGTGAACGGTATCTCGATATCGAATTACACTTGCACTAGTTTTACTTGATATTTAAAAATATATTTTTGATATATTTACAATGGTCATTGTGAATAAATTGATTGTGAGGCAGAAACAACTTTTTCAGCCAAGTGATTTCTCTAGTTGAAGGATATTTTGGAATGAACTGATCGAAGTGAATAAGTTTTGTTTGTTGACTTTTCTGATCGTCTATCTTTTCAGTTTGATGAATCCAGTAATTTAGTGCCGAGTTGAAAAAGTTGAACAATATTGCATTGTTGATCCCACTGTGAAATGTTTCTTTTAAGATTTATACTCAAAGGAAAGGCGATAAAACGTAAAGATCGTGACCGCAGAGGTTTGATTATCTCAGAAGCGGTCGATAGTTCCATTGATAAGGTGCAACCTCGTTCGGTAAGTACGAATTTGGGCAGTATTCCAATGAGAATCGTTCGTCTAAAATGAGCATTACTTCAGTGCTTTGATAGCTTTTACCTCTCCCTTTAAATTTAGTATTTGAATCTTTCAGATTCAGTAACTCACTGATTTTTACAATTTTTCCCCAAAAAAATTTCATATCAATCGCTGCTGGCAATATCATCAAGCCGTCAGAAGAAAGACAATGCTCATTTAACAGTATTTTGTTTTTTAGGTGCCATTCCCGTATACAACGGTAGAAGACTATGAGACCGTAGTACGACAACCCCTCGGTAAGGAATGGAATCCACAAAGAATACATCACAAACTTGTTAAGCCAACGATTCTAACTCGGGTATGTTGATGTTCGATTTTTTTTCAATTGATCTCTGAGTGCTTGTCATTTTTTCGATCTCTTTTCTGCATCAAATTTTGCATTTTGCATCATGTGCGTTCTTCACGCGAGAATTTTATTTTTTCGTATTGAATTTTATCAGGTAAAAATAGTAAAAGTCTGTTGATATTTCTTTAAAACGAATGTATATTTTGATGGATTTTCAGGCCGGAAGAATTATCAAACCGTTGGATAAAGAAGAAACATTAAAGGAGCAAGTGAAAGAGGTATCGGATGAAGAAAACTGAGCTGATAATTTTCGATTGTCAAATTTTTTGTTCTGTTAGTAATGCAGGATGTTACCTCGCCCTCTAATGCGCGGGTGCGCCATGCAATCTGCTTCAGCATCTTTCCCTGTCGCTAAAACTTAAATGCGAGATTGTAACGAACGTTTCGTGATGACATCTCTCTAAATTTTCGTTCTTCTCTCGTTTCAATGGTTTTTTCGACGGTGTTTTAAGCTGTAACAAAATTATTACCTGAGTGTTGTACTGGTCGCAATAATGTCTTCGATGGTTTCCCATATTTAATCAGTATACATAAGCGTTATTCACCACGTCTTAAATTACGTCCGTTACATAGCAAAAAAANNNAAAAAAATAAACGTATGTTCAACCAAAATTAGCCCAGGTGCTGTTCAGTGCGCTGTAATTTTTGTTAAAATCAAAAATTGCCCTCATTCAAACATCAAGTAATAGTTATTTTTCAGTTTTTTTTATTCAGTTATAAATTTGGTTATTTTTGTTGTTGTTGTTGATTGTTATATTGCAGTGTTGTTATGTTATGAATGTTTGATAAATTTTATACTGTCACCAAGTAAAGTGATTGTTAGCCATAAATTTGCGTTCACGTTCAGATCAATCGCAAAAATAAGGTCAACAGGTGTGTCTTGAACTGTTAGGAATCTTCATTTCTTCAAGTTTGACAGTGATCCTCGAAGATGTACCGATAAAATTGCATCCAGTTAAGTCGGTCAAACAACTGAGTAGTGTATCTGATGATGAGAAGTAATGAAAGAAGTGAATAGTTGATAGTGTCTGTATTGATTAACGCAAAAGAAGCTTTTGAAGCAACTGATCTCGATAGTAGCGTAACTGTCGCAAACTTTTTTTTTGTTTTTACTATTAATCAGTGGCGATGGGAAAGAGTATCGCCTGCAATCCTTGCCCAGCCAAAAAAATCAGTGAAGAACTAAAAAATCTATTGATGCAGAAGAATTTCAGTGTTTGCTTAACGTTAAAATAATTTTGGCGTTTTCCTTTCATTTATACCCATTCGAGTCGGAGGGTATAATTATCTCAATGTATTTCAGTTTGGCTCATTGAATGATTTACCTTCTGCTCTATTGTTACTAAGACTAGTGGAATATGACAGCTAAAAAAAAGCCGTCCTCCTATTAAAAAGGTTCTGCATATGCCACTAGTATTAAGGTGTATTTACGTACGACGTGAATGAGAACCAGTTGTGAGTGAGAGGAAATTGCACTGTTATTAAACGATCATCGGATATGATCAATGTTTTTTGTGAGTAAACATTTGTTATTGGTATTGTTTGGTGGATTCAGAAAATTCACCGAAACTGCACATGATTGATACAATGATAACTGAAAATCCACACATTTATGTGTGCAATCGAATCGTATTTATTGCTGTAATTTATATCAATTAACAGATGATATTGGAGGAGGCAACGAAAAGGTCATACCAATGCAAACAACAACAATTCAATTCCGCTGCTCTCATAATTTTACTCCAAAATGATTATTTTTCAGTTATATATGACCAAATATTTTCATAAACTTTTTTTTCCATAATATTCTTCGAATTCAATGCATATGAATCAATATCATTCATGTTCCATTTTCCATATACATTGGCTTAGTGGCCAGAGGATGTTTGGAAGGGTTTTTTAACTCTACGGTTTCTGTAACAGAAATGTCGGTGTTTTTCTGACCGATAAAACTGTGGATTGAAGAAAAACAATTAATTTTGGTAATGCATATAAAAAATACTCATTTGCACTGTTCTCAGGAGAATACAAAGAGACAATCTTGCCTAGAGTTGGTATTTAGATTCATACCCGCTGTCACGAAATCCTCGTCATGTTGCTCTAAGTATAATTGGCGATTAATAACATCCTGTACGACAATGAACTGGTTTGGTATTCCACTTACCCGTTATTATTAACAATAGCGAAGATCACCGATATGTATATGCGCGTTTCAATTGCGCATAAATTTGCAGTAATTTGGTGAGCCATTATACAATTTTATAAAAGTTTTCATTGTGAACCTCTGTGCACAGCCATTTAAAGTAGCTGCGAAAAGTAAACATGCAATGTGGACACTGGTAAGTGAGGACTATTGGTACAGATGGATAAATATGAGCGTAACATGCAAACGCTTTGAATGAATAATGCAAGTGGAGGGATACAGTTTGAAAGGTTTAGGATAATGAAAGATGAATTAGGTACAACTGAAGTATGATGAAATTGTAGATGGATGAACAACATCGCTGTTATATATGATATGCATGCAGTCGGTTGATTTGGGTGGCATCTTTACATTTGTAATCGAGATAGTAACTCATTATGCTTAAATTAGCGCTATCTTCCGTCGATTTAACAGATAACAGAATGTCTCACAGTATTTTCGGCCATTTCATATGACTGTCATTGTTGAATATTTCGTTCAGTCGGATTCACTATCACATTTCTGTCGAATGCTCAAACTTATTTTGTTTGATCGTTGTCAAAAAAAGCGCGATGGCATTGTCCGTATTTGAATAACCACTTGTAATAACATAAAAAACTTTTCATAGTGTTCCTTCGTTGAATTTCACACATTTTTTATAACTATCACCTCAGACTAGACCTAGAATTTGAGGTGACCAAATGATGAAAATGAAATAAATCAATAGCTATATAACTTTGGAAATGAATAATTTGTCAATATCATGTAAATTATTAATCACGTATTCTGTTATGCGAGCATGATTTTGTGTTCAGTCATTTGTGATCACATTTCAAGGGCTCTAATTCGATTCGTGCTCGCAACGCATTTTTATACTCCTCAAGGGAAAATGAGCTCAACATTCATATAATTATAGGCTTATGAGTATTATAAGAATCATTCGAGGATGATGCTCAATAGGTTTTCGAATGTCGAATCTACTTTCTCCATTGATTAGTGTTCAGAACGTTGAATACACAAAGAATTATGTTAATCCGCCGCACTAAATGTTCATTAGAGTTGAATTTGCTGAGGTTCGGTGATTCGTATCAGAATCAAGCGTGGCAGTGTTCGTGTTGTTCAGTATATTTGTCTGTAGATTCAGTCAAGATACGAGTGGAAAGGCAGCACATTTCGAGAACTACTCGGAAGTTCAGCCCACTGCTAATTGACTGTCACATAAGCAGTATCAGTGAAAACAACGATTGCTAGTTACAGAGTTGATTTGGGCATTGTGCATTTACTGATTCAATTCAGTTCACTTCATCATCATTTCTCTTCTTTTTGCTACCGCATTCCAGCATTTATCACTCGAGAATTACTGCTAGTTGGCGGCTTTACGATGCATGCATGCAGCACACACTTGTCCATTCAACCAATCAACCCAACAGCTAATTCCACAATTATTCTTTCTTTTGCATTTATCCATTACTCCTTTCTTGACTGAATCTCTTCAGTTCACATTCAGCCGTCACATTCTTCGCTCTCAACTCGCATTATATTTTCGAAGTTGATCTATCACTCTCTATCTTTCACCACTAGTGTTGTGTACTATTCTGTGAATCGTTGAATATCTCAATACAATTTTAAATTGTGTATCGGTCATTCAAAACATTTGTCTAATGCAGGATGAGTGTAAATGATTTGCTTCGAGGTGGGTTCATCTCGATTTTAGGTTGTTCGTGCGAATAACGCTCGCTTCTAATTACCAGCAGTCTTGGATGTGCAAAATGTTTTATTATCAGCACTAGGTTGCTTTATATATCGTTATGTGAAAGATATACACTCTCTTTTCTCATCACCTCTTCACTTCTTCACTCATTCTGCTTCGATTTTCTTCATTCACTGTTATGTGCACATTCATCGTGTCTCTGTTCATGACTACGGTAGTTTTGACTGCTTTCTTTGCTGGTAATAGATACTTTTTGAGGAATGCGAGTACGATCATAATTTATGTAATTTCCTTTTGTCTCTGACGACAGCTCATGTTCAGATTACGAATATTCATCGATCCACGTTCATTGTGAATGAAATGAAAACATTTTACGTCTTGCTTATAACAGATGAGCATGTTCCAACTAAATAATGATAAAATTTCAAATTTGATGGCGATCCGATCGGATCGAGATTTGATCGTTCAAATTTAATCGTCTCGAATGACGAGCTAGCTAGGGAACCATAGTGCGAATGAATTCCACTTCAAGACAGAAATTAATAATTTTTAACAGAAATTTCATTTTATTGGAATGATCACAACTCTTCATCAGGAGTTGTTCATTTACATAGCTGTTCGAATGTGTATTGAATGAATCTTCCAAATAGTGTTTATTGATGTTCTGCATAGTCAAAAAAATGCTTATATTAATTTCATTCATAGGAGCATTTGCGCATTAGCCGTCTAATTTTGCAACTTTCACGTTACTTATTTTATAACATTTCAATATATCCTAAGAGTATTTATTCTAATGATAATAATAACACTAATAACAATAACAATAATGATAAATATAATTATAATAATAATAATAATAACAAGAATAATAATGATAATAAGAATAAGAATAATAATAACAATAATTATAATCATGATACTCATGAAATTAACTAGCAGTGATGAATGATAGTTATGGAATTGATTATATTCCATTGAGCATTGAATAGTGACATATGAAAATAAATTAGTTTGGTTATTCATGGCTATAATGTGGGAGTAATGCAGAATGATGAATGAAACGAAACACGAAATACTTATTGGCTTTAAAAGAATTACATTCGTTTTGCACACGCATTTGCCTTTGCTCGAAACTCATTACGGATTCAGCAATAACAACATCGCATCTCCTTCTTTTGAGAAAGTAAAGTAAGTCGAGTCATACCGATTGATTTGTCTTTAAATGTTGCAATTACTCATCCAGTACTTACTTATTGCCACCAAATTCGTGTTTAAATAACAACAGATTGGATATGAATTGATATGTGAACACAACAAATTGTTCATTTGTAACATTCAATAATTTA